GGGCATCACCAAGCCGGCCATCCGCCGCCTGGCTCGGCGCGGCGGCGTCAAGCGCATCTCGGGGCTCATCTACGAGGAGACGCGCGGCGTGCTCAAGGTGTTCCTGGAGAACGTGATCCGCGACGCCGTCACCTACACGGAGCACGCCAAGAGGAAGACGGTCACCGCCATGGACGTGGTCTACGCCCTCAAGCGCCAGGGCCGCACTCTGTACGGCTTCGGCGGCTAAACTCTGTTCCACTTACAGCTTAACGCTTTTACAACACAAAGGCTCTTTTAAGAGCCACCCACAAATTCCAAAAAAAGAGCTTTAAGTCGCTAAATTGCTAAAAAATACATTTAAATTGAAATTGCTGTTACCGTGCTTGTTTTTTCGTAACCCTTGTGGTTGCAAGGAAACAGGGTCGGATTTTGTTTATCCGGTTTTCCCCGAAGCCCAGACCTGCTTCTCTCCATTCCTTCTAAAGGAGAAGGAAAGTCTCTTTTGGGAAGGAGGGGGATATCTCCTCGTTACTCGCAGAACGAAACAGGGACAAGGGGTGTACCGCTTCCCTGGGAGCCCGATGCTATAGGAAAATACTTTCTGCTAGTTACAGCCTTGATTTTTCTATTTCCCTCCACAGAGCACGACCCGCTCAACACAGAGCCTCTCTCGAAAGCACAATGGAAGGGACACACAGGCCAGAAAAAACAAAGCGGGGGCACGTCGGGGGGACCGCGATTGCCATGGCCGCTCTCGCCGCAGTTTTACCGTGACGCTCTCGAAGGGGAAGGAGCTCCCGAAATGGCGGAGCTCTCTCTGCCGTTCGGTGGGCGGGACAGAGCGGGAACAAGAAACAGCCAAGAGCAGCCGGTACCGCCCTAGCGACTGCACAGCAAAGACGCGGCGAGCCCGCCGCTCCAAAGCCCTGCCCTCCTCCCCCGCCCTGCTTCTGGGGCTGCCTGTCCTCTATGGACCGCTCCCGCCTGCAGCCCCGCACAGCCCCTGACACCCCTCCCAGCTTTGGACGGCTGCTTTGGACGGCGAACCTCACGATCACCAACACATTCGGGCTGCAGGGGAACGCCAGGGCCGGACACCGCGGCAGAGCCGCACTCCCCCCCGCCCCCGTTACCCCGTAATCGGCACGGGCTGGGCTGCCTGTGCCCGCTCCGTCCTAACAGGGACAACAGCTCTTCCCGGTGACCTTGTGGTGGCTCTTAAAAGAGCCTTTCGGTTTGAAGGAGAAGGGCAGAAGACTCCTCAGGCGCGCTCTCCGCGGATGCGGCGGGCCAGCTGGATGTCCTTGGGCATGATGGTGACGCGCTTGGCGTGGATGGCGCACAGGTTGGTGTCCTCGAAGAGCCCCACCAGGTAAGCCTCGCTGGCCTCCTGCAGCGCCATGACGGCCGAGCTCTGGAAGCGCAGGTCGGTCTTGAAGTCCTGCGCGATCTCGCGCACCAGGCGCTGGAAGGGCAGCTTGCGGATCAGCAGCTCCGTGGACTTCTGGTAGCGCCGGATCTCGCGCAGCGCCACCGTGCCGGGCCGGTAGCGGTGCGGCTTCTTGACGCCGCCCGTGGCCGGCGCGCTCTTGCGGGCAGCCTTGGTGGCCAGCTGCTTGCGGGGCGCCTTCCCGCCCGTCGACTTACGCGCCGTCTGCTTCGTGCGCGCCATGGCAGCCGCTCCCAACAACCGGCCCGGGAAAGTTACACGGCGGCTCCACGGGCTCTATTTATCCCTGGCTGTGGCCCCGCCTCCCCACCGCTGATTGGCCACAGAGCGGAGAATTTAATTGGGTACTCACTGAAGTCGCGCCGAGCCCGTCTTGCAAAATAAATCTTGTACTGCTTCATTTTTATTAGAGGAAAATCAACATGTATCAGTGTTTTACTGGTATCATTTCTATTTCTAATATTTCATTTTTCCGAAGCTGTTTTCGAATGGTACTTGCAGCTTCGCATTTTAAGCAGTTTAATTACATATAATGCATTTATTGAAGGGAAGGACAATCCCCCTAAAGCCCACAACAAACTAAACAAACAAACAAAAAAGACAAAAAAAAAAAACCCCACAAACTAAATAACCCCCCCAAAACTCCAAGAAAGCAGAACAGAAAAAAAACCCCAAGCAGAACAAAAAAATCCTACCACTCGAGTTTTCCGTTCAGATTCCATACAAAGCACCCGAATCCTTTATTACTGCTTCCATAAAAATACAGGATGAAAAATAAAAGTGACCAGTTTCTACAACAAATAAGACAACAGAGAGCAAACTTACCAAAAAACATGTTGTCTTATCGGTTATTCTGGGAAAATTAAGTTCTATTTTACCTAACTTAAGTAGAAGAGTTATTAATTAAGACGAGCAGTTAAAAAGTAAAAACGTCGCCTCGGAAGATAGGGAAAACCAAGAGAAAAGGCGGCTTTGGACTAGTATTTGAGAGCAGGGCTCAGCACTAGAGGGGTTAACGCGCGATTTTCAAACCGTCCCACTGAGCGCGGCCGTTTCCATCAGCCAATCATAGAGAGCCTTTGGATATAAATAGGAGCAGGGAGCCGTCTTTCCCGGCCACTCGAGTTGTTCTCTGCGCTTTATCGTGGCTCACGGGGGGTGTTTAGATGGCGCGCACGAAGCAGACGGCGCGTAAGTCGACGGGCGGGAAGGCGCCCCGCAAGCAGCTGGCCACCAAGGCTGCCCGCAAGAGCGCGCCGGCCACGGGCGGCGTCAAGAAGCCGCACCGCTACCGGCCCGGCACGGTGGCGCTGCGCGAGATCCGGCGCTACCAGAAGTCCACGGAGCTGCTGATCCGCAAGCTGCCCTTCCAGCGCCTGGTGCGCGAGATCGCGCAGGACTTCAAGACCGACCTGCGCTTCCAGAGCTCGGCCGTCATGGCGCTGCAGGAGGCCAGCGAGGCTTACCTGGTGGGGCTCTTCGAGGACACCAACCATCCACGCCAAGCGCGTCACCATCATGCCCAAGGACATCCAGCTGGCCCGCCGCATCCGCGGAGAGCGCGCATAAGCTTTTGTTCGAACGCTACCATCTGTTTTAAAGTATTTTAACGAACACAAAGGCTCTTTTAAGAGCCACCACATGCACAATAAAAAGAGCTGTAACACTAATATATTTGCAATAGGTTTCAAGGGACACTAAAGAACTAAACTGAATAGATGAAAACTAATGGGGTGGACATAGTATAGCTGTTTGTATACTTTAACCATAGGGTATAAATGAAAGAAAGGGTTATGCTTTTCCAATTCGTGGAAATATATTATTCTTTCTAAGCTGGAAAAAAGGATCGAAATAGTGCAAGGAGCGGTCGAAATATCGGAGGAGAAATCTCCACCGTGAAACAGAAATATCTATTTCTTTCTCATACCCTGTCTCCCACCCGTCCCCCTTTTCCCGCACACTGAGAACTCCCGGCTGTTTCTCCTCTATTTCCTCTGGTCGGCCGTGGCGATCCGCACCGTGCAGCCCCGCGGCCTTTAAAAGCATAATAAGACACAGGAGAGAGCAAACACGGTGCGGGACGGGGCATCGCGGCCCCG